TGGTGTAAAAGATACGGTTCCATTTTTTAGCCTCATTATTTCACTTTTTCATTTAGTAGTTTATGGTGGGTGGGTGTGCCTGTGGGTGTGTACATCGGCTTATTTATCATGAAGGGGAGTAGAACTAGCATTTCTCCTAGCATGCGGCCAAAGCAGGCAGCACACCGTGCAGTACCACCCACAGGTTACCCTGGAGCTGGGCATCCGTTCTCAGGGTTTGCAAATGGCTGCGTCTTTGTCTGTCTAGAGCCAAGCAGGTCTAGACCATCTATTCATCACAGACACAGTTGAACAGCAAAAGACGCAGTTGTCTTTTCTCTGCCTGTATTTTTTGCTGTTGTGATTAGTCCTTAAGATTTTCCCTATCAGAATATTTTACTGAAGACAAATATTCAGAATTCACTGGCAAGTAAGTTATATATAATAGAAGTTGTCCTTGAAAGCAAGTAGTTCTTCATTCACTTTCACATATTTTTCCTGTCTTTCATGGTTCTTTTATTCTTACAAGGAATTAGAAAGAAGATTAAATACACTTATTCAATAAGCAACATCTTGTAAATATGTTCATATCTTTTTACCCAACAATTTTCTTTTCGTAATTGATTATAGAGAAATCATTCAAAAGAAATGTTCTTTCAAAGCTCAATTATGTCCTTCGTGGTATTATTTATGGAGGTAAAGTTCTCTCATCTCCGTTTTTGTTGTTGTTGCTGCTGTTTGTTAGTCCTCACCTAAGGATACTTTTTTCATCACTTTTCAGAAAAAGTGGGAAGGAGGGAGGGAAGGGAAGAGAGAGAGAAAGGGACATTGATGTGAGAGAGACACATACATACATAGACCAGTTGCCCCAGGAATGTGCCTTTGGGAATGGGAACTCAAGACCTTTTGGTGTGCAGGCCACTGAGCCACACTGGTAGGGTTCATTCATGTTTTTCATCACAGGAAAGGAAGCTTTGTATGGGGAAGGAATGGAATTTAAGAGGCAGAACCAACAGCTCCTTGCCAATATTGTTAGCTGGTCTTCTCTCGGTTTTTGGAGGCATTGATATCAAAGGGAGTTGTGTTGAAAATGAGTGTCATCTCTCATCACACTGATATCTGGGGCTAGTACTGGTCTCTTTTTAAAAAAAAATATTTTATTGATTTTGTACAGAGAGGAAGGGAGGGAGATAGAGAGTTAGAAACATCGATGAGAGAGAGTCATCAGTCAGCTGCCTCTTGCACACCCCCTACTGAGGATATGCCCGCAACCAAGGCACATGCCCTTGACTGGAATCGAATCCGGGACCTTTCAGTCCCCAAGCCAACGCTCTATCCACTGAGCCAAACCAGTTTCAGTGTACTGGTCTCTTAGTAAAAGGAAGATAGATCAAACTGGAGCAACACCTGCCAGATGGACAACAGGGGTGGGGGTGGGAGGGTGAGGGCATATGTGGGGAGGGGTTTGTGATGGGATTGGGGGGAATGAGGAAAATTATGTGATACCATAATCAACAATAATAAAAAAAGACCTGCCAGATGACAGCAGCCCCTTTTCTCATTCAAGGAATAGACTAAACCGGCCTCACAGCGGGCAGGGGGGTCAGCATATGTATTTACTATTTCTAGTATAAAGTGAATTTTACAGCCTTAGAGCTGTGTAGCTGTGAGCTTGAAGAAAAAGTCCATGTTTATTGTGGCTGTAACTCGCTGGAGGCATGTTTGGCTCCTTGGGTACTAATTTTTGTCTTCTAGACACGTCAGGTAGCAGCCCCTCAGGTCCACCCCACTGAAAAAGAACACATCAGAAGGATGAGAAGAAAATGTGAATGCGTTCCCCCCCCCCCCCCCACACACACACACACACAGGCTAAAGGGAGAGTGAGCAAGGATGTGTTGTGTTTATTTGTGATCTTCCCTTTCCTAGTAGGATGTCAAATAATGGCCAAGAAAACTATCTGAAATATTAAAGAAAGAATATATTTGTCTTTTCTTTAATGACATTGCTTTAAAAAAAAAAAAAAAAAAGTAGCCACTGCAGCGTGAACCTGACAAAATGAAACACTGTGAATGTTTCCATTAACTAAAATTTTATTTTAATCATGATGAGATTGGAGTTTAGTTGCAATTTATGCCTTCCCAACTGGAGTGGGAACTGGAGCTGCTTATTCTCCCGAGTGGGAGGTGAAGGTGTCAATATGGCTGGTGGGTGGATATCTGAATCTTGCTACCAAACGAAGGGAGGGCTCCCTGGGCCTTATATTCTGCGGGGACTTTGTCAGAGGCCCCGTTACCTTTCGGAGCAACAGCGTCTCCTCTGTTTTTGTATTGTTTTGACACCACAACCCCAAACCTATTGCTAGAATTCTTACCCTCAACCCTGATTGCGAGTCTTTAACGTCCTGTGCAATTATAACTTTTCAACCCTCACCAGCGAACTGGATTTCACATGTTGCCATATGTCCACACAGAATTTGTGAGGAAGCCAGGCATGCTGACATTACGAATGCCAGTGCTGGGGGATTTGTTTTGTATGTACACGATAAGAAAACATGTGGTGTATTTGTGGTATTACTGTGATTACATGGAAATTATTTTGACAGTGTTTATCGTGAACAGGGAGACATCCTGGTGGTGCTAGGACCTGTAGGTGTTAATCACTGGGCTGACTTGGCTAGCCCTGGAGACAGCTCGGGTTCTGGTATCTGGCACCTAACTGGGCAGCCTCCACGTCAGTCGGGTCTGCCACCCACCCTGATGGCGGTGGGTATCCCAGACGTTTCTGCCCTCCTGTGCCATTTTTTCCTGCCATCAGCTTTGAAATGAGTGGCTCTGTTCTTTTCCAAATGTGAATTCATTATGTTAACCTCAAAAGAAAGAGGGCTTGCTTTCAAACACACACAGGCATCCGTACTTCTAAAACCGATAGTGTGTTTTAAAAGTGTATTGAAAATGTACTTAGAAATCTGTAATCATTGAAATTTATCAGAATTACAGAGGGAGGTGTTGAGTCTTATAGAAATGGTAAAAACTATCATATATTAATAATAAAAAAAAAAAGACATGATTTTTTTTTTTGTATTAGTCACTGTCAGGAGAAAATATTTACCCTCCCAAATGAATGATGGCAGGAACTGAAACTGTAGGAATAGCACAATGGGAAACGATGGGTCTGAAGACATTACTTTGAGAAATGAGAGTGTAGGTGTACGTGGTAAGAGAAGAAAGTGTGGGGAGAGTAAATCAACCAATCAACATAAGTAAAATTTAAAAAATCCAAAGCAAAGGATCCTTGGGGGATGGGATTCTCAATGAAGCATAAGCATCAGTTCCACTCTGGCGCTATTGCTGATAAGGGCAGATCATCCATTTATTTGACAGGTTGAGGGAGAACTTGAAAAATGAAATCGGACAAGATTACAAATGACATGTAATACATTTCTAAAACTTGCTTCACAAAGCCAGGCTCTTGTATACGTCGTGAGATTCATTGGTCGTGAATGCATTTCACCTGCTTATGCGCCTGCACAGACTAGGTGTGAAGCAGGGCACCGGCCATCGTTTTCAAACACCCTGTTGTGACTGACATACACCCTCTGAGGACGAGCCTGCCTCAGAAGACTAGTGCAGGGGCAAGTGTCCTTGGTAAAGTGCCAGCGAACATTTTACGTGTCCATTTTAAAAATGAGCAATGTGAAAGTTGGTCCCCAGATTATTATCTGAAATCTTGCTATTGAATAAAGCAAGACTGATAGGCTAGTTTAAGGCTGATAGGCTAGTTGAATAAGTAAAAGAAGGAAGTTTATAAATTATTGGAATTAACAATGCTAAAGTGTCATGAGTCTGTATAGTAGTTGTTTCTTCAGAGTTCATGTGCTGTGATTTATTTGTTATTTAAAAAATTATTTTCTCATGCATGCTAATCCTAGATAATAAAAGCCTAATATGCTAAGTGTCCGGTCATCTGGTCATCTGTTCAGCCAATCAAAGCATAATATGCTAATGATATCCTAAGGCCACTCAACTGCTTGTTATGATGTGCACTGACCACCAGGTGGTAGTCGACCTGTCACCAGTCACTATGATGTGCACTGATCACCAGGGGGCAGACACTCTGACCGGTAGATTAGCTTGCTGCTGGGGTCCAGCTGATAGGCACTGAGCGAGATGGGCTGGACATGGTCTCAAGCCCTCCTGTGGCCCATCTGTGGCTAGCCAACCTCCTGCATCCCTCCCTGGCCCTGACTGTGTACTGGTAGGGTCCCCCGGCCTGGCCTGCAACCTCTCGCAATCCAGGACCCCTCGGGGGATGTTGGAGAGCCAGTTTCGGCCCGATCCTGCAGGCCAGGTGCTCAAATTCATGCACTAGTATTTTGATAAAAGGGCCAATTGACAAAGAAAACAGCTATACTAAATGTATATACAGTAAACAACAGAGCTGCAAAATATACAAAGCAAAAACTGATAGAATTTAAATGAGAAATTGACAAATTTCCAATTACACTTGGGGATGTTAATGTTCCTCTCTTAGTCACTAAGCAGGATCCAGTTGGCATTTATAGAACTCTCCACCCAACATCAGCAAAATGTACAGGATTCATTAATAATTAATCAATAAGAATATAAGCACAAACTCTGTGTTTCACATACAACTGTAAACCTACTCTTGCCCCACCGAGTACATTGCATGCATTTGGCACATATACCAAACAAATTAAATCAGATCTGGTTGATAAAGTAAACCTTAAAAAATGTAAAGGAATTGAAATCATACCAAGTATGTTCTCAGATTGTATTGGAATCTAACTAGAGATTAATAACAAATAACTGGAGAGTGGGGGAGGAGAAGGAAGGGAAGAGCTTTAAAAACCTGGTTTATCTGTCCTTGACTCTGAATTGTCATTGGCTTGGAAAATCGGAAAATAGGTACATTTCATCTGACAATGTCCCAAAATGATAATGAAAGATACAGTTGATTGTTACCCATAATCAGTCATCTCTCTGTCCACTTTATTTCGCAGCCTCTCTGTTGAAAGGACTAAAGCATGCTAACATAGTGTTGCTTCATGATATCATCCACACCAAGGAGACGCTGACACTTGTGTTTGAATATGTGGTGAGTAAAATAGGAATTCAGATTTTATAAATATGAATAAAAACTTATAGTGTTATCATAGCGTTTTATGTTTAGGTTGCTGAATTAAAACGAGTATTTTACCTGAGTACACAAGACTTGCAACTTTGCATCATTTTGGATGATATTTAAAGATAAATCCTTAAAAATGTTAATTTGAATTTTCATCATATATGTTATCTATTTCTAACCTTTTGTTAACTAGTATACACTGTAACTTTTAGGTTTATTAAATAGGATGAAACTAGCATGATGCTGAACATTCCATCAAAGGAAGTTCACAGACAATTAAAAATGTAGAGTTTTTATTTGACAGGGAGGGCAGGATTTTTAACTTAGTTTTTCAAAAGCATCCTTATTAGTTTTTTTTTTTTTTTTTCTATTGTGGAGAAAAGCCCAATACTTACAATTTAGACTTCATAGTTTTCCCCCTCACTTGGTATTTCAGCTATTAATTAAAACTTCCCATTTGCATAACACAATGTAACGATCTTATTGTGTTGAGAGTATAACTGCTAGAAGACTTGGACCTGAACTCATAATTAATCTTTCTCCATTTCTCTTAGAAAAACATATGGTATTTGTGTAGTTCCACTTCAGCATTGAACTGTGGAATCATGAAATGTAACCATGATAATTAGCATCTCAATTTTCACAGATGGATCTGAGAACATGTAATTTATAAGATACAAATGACATCGGTGGAGGCTTTTATTGAGAAGAATAGCTGTTGGTATTGTGAATGTATTAAGATCCCACTTGTAATTACCATACAACTTTAAAAAAATGGAAATAGTTTTCATTTTTCCTTAAGTATATATAATAGAATGAATATTTGCAACATTTTTATCTTGCTGGTGTCTGGCTGTGTCTATTTGTCATTTGAAAATTGTCTTATGAAGAAGCCATTTATCTTGTCTATTTACATATAAATGATAGATACATTTGAATAATATGGTAATGTGGCAACAAGGACAGCTAGAGCTGAGCAGTTGAATATATTACATGCTACCAAAAATGGATAGTGATTCACACATTAATGCAAATATAATTTCCTTTGTTTTATCGATGATGTTGGAATCAATAATACATTCAGCTGATGTAGAACTGGAATGTAGAATTTTTTGTTTCATATTTTCCAGTATGTCTAGTTGCAACATTTCAATTAAATCTAGATTTTTTCCCCCCTTGGTATATGACTAATTTATGTTTTGTAGAAAAGATACCTCAAAAGTATACTTGCCCCCTTTCCCCAAACTAGATAATTAAATTAAAAGGAAGAAAAGTAGTTTGACCCCTAAAATCAGTAACAGTGACAGAGAGACTAACAAAATAATGTGAAAATATGTCCCCCAAAATCATAAAGGAAAATTAAATACATTTGTGAAGCTAAAAATGTACATTTGTGAAGCTAAAAATGTACATAACTGTCCGATGTAATTTCCTGATTTTCTGTGGAAGTTGTCACCCAAAGGCAAAGGAATTCACTGTGTTGCGGTATTTGCTAACTGATTAAAACTGACTTTTAAACACTCATTCTTTTTTTGTGTGTGAGTGAAATTTTCTATGGTTCCAATTCTTGTGGCTACATTCCAGGGCCTCTTAAATCAACCACATAATAACGTGCACATATGCAGTGCTCCACGGGCAACCTTCCATTCCTGATCTCTCTGTGGGAGGGAAGAGCTAGAGGAACCTGTTCTCTCTCAGAGAATGAGGCAAGCTCCTGTCATTCATGGTCTGCCTCTTCAGTTTTCCACTCTACTTTATTCCCTCACCTTCCCATTGTGTCTAGGCCTTTCCCCTTTCCATCTTTCTTTGTCTTTTTTATTCATCTGTCCTTTTGCTCTCTCTGGCGAAGCACTTTTTGCTGCTACAACTATAGTTTATTTCTTTGGCGTTTATTTATTTTCAAATACCACGAATGTCTGCAATATTGGTAAGAACCTTGTAACCTATATAGCACACCCTAAAATCAGTATCAAACATTTTAATCTACAATTTCCTGAACTTAATGATGATATTACCACATTTCAAAGTTGTTAACATCAAAGTAATCTTATAAAAAATGTTGATTTTGTAGTTTTGTTTCATACATAGTACCTTTTCATAAGGGAGGGGAACGAGTAAGTCAAACACAGTTGTTTTCCTTACTTAAACAGAAAGTTAAGTATTTTAGTTTTCTGTAAAAAAAAAAAAATCACATCATGCCCATTAAAATCCTAGGTATAAAGAGAAAGTAAAATATTTAAGATTCATTAGACAGTATTGGATTTTTTTCTTTGAGTTAGAATTAATTAAGTGTTCAGGCGTTTTTTTGAGGTATGTAAGTTGAGTTCCACAAAGTGAAAGATTATTAGTTATGATTGTTGATACATCCTGTAATGAATTCCTTTTCTTTGCCTAGCTGCCTTCTGTTATTTCTACTGATGATGTATTATTCCTTCTGAGGGCCAGAATAATGAAATAAGTGACGAAAAGTTCGTAATGGTAAAGAATACTTGAGGAAATGACTTGGAAGGTCATTACTAAAGTGATTTAGTGGATGGCAGGCCATGGTTAATATTTCTTAAGTGCTGTGAAGAGCTCTTACAACATCTGAAATACAGGTTCTGGTCCATTTTCAAGGTGTGTAGATAGAGTGGCCTGCATGCTGAAGGTTGGAAACACAGTGGGGAATGTGCTACCCAGACTGCTCATGCCTCACTCTTGCGACATGTGACCCCATCATGTGTGTTGTATGGACACTACCTTCCTCCAGTTGGTAAAGGCGAAGGAGCACCACCAGCCGAGGTGTGGTTCACTGAGCCTCAAATGGCATCTGGTTTCATAATGGTCTATAATATTGTTGTAGCTGTCTTTTTTTTGTTTGAGTCCCAGGAAAAGAAATACAGAAAGTAGCGAAAAGTGCTAACACAGTTGTTTTCCCTTCTTAAACAGAAAGTTAAGCATTTTAGTTTTCATTTTTTTTGCTGGAGACAAATAAGTGCCACATTACCCTATTTATCACCATGCTGAAAAATCCAAAACAGATTCCATAAGTGGAATTAAGAATGTTCATAGTAAACATGGCTATGTAAATATATGTTACTGGTAGCTGAAGTGCATAGCTATTCTGTTCTATTTTAAATGAAATGAGAGCAAAGTATGTGTAGCAGCACTTTTCATTACATACTTAATAATTAAGTATCAGAAGAAAAGCAACAAGCTTACCGCTAATCATGATACTCATTGGAACAATCATTTTATTTCTTCCACTGTGCTGTACCAGTAAACTCATGAAAATATTCCAAACTAATGTGTGGCATTATGTCAAACAAAAATCTGTATTCCACATAAAACAAAACTGCCGCTAAAAATCAACATACAGTGATTTATGTATTATCAAAAACCATCTAATTTATTTTTATATTGCTGTACAGTCTACAAAGCATGTTCTCATAAATGTTATTCCATTAGATTCCTTTTTAGTCCTTTGAAGGATAGAAGGCATGTGATATTTGTTATCCAGTTTGATACTGATGAGGAAAAACAATGCTCAGAGAGAATTCAAAACAGATTTACTAAAAGCACTCCGATAAGTTAAGGGTAAAGGGAAGATTTTAGGCCAGAATGATTGTCGGTGCATCTCAGCCTCAGGCTGCCGGGGTTAACCAGCGGCCTAGTTTGATGTGACGGTCTGAGGACGTGAGATGCTGGGATATGCAACTTTCCCCCGGAATATTCTATTCTGTCTTGTCACCCTGTCACACAATCTACCTAATTGTTTGGCTTCTCAGCCTCATACATCTTGATTTCTGTATCTATGAAGAATGCTTTCATTTGCATGATTTTATGACACATCTGTTCTGGAAAACTATAGCTCTCCCTCAGCATTCTGGTTCCCAGATTAATCTATCCTGGCACAATTGAACATTTTTCTGCCTTTCTATGAAGGAAAAAAAAAAAGCCTATATGCACATGTCCATGAATATACAAACATTAAGTGGGGGTGATCAGGGAAGGCTCGCTGAAAAAGGGAGAGTTATTCAGGTGAAAGTCTGACGGAGATGAAGGAGGAAGACATATATTCTGCCACTCAGGGTTGTGAGGGGAGCAGCAGGGACCCCGGGGCTGGAATGGAGCCAGCCAGGGTGAGACACCGTCCAAAACGCACTGGGCTCTGGATTGTGTCAGGCCTTGTGAGGTTGTGTTTTAATGAATTTTGCTTTAACTCAAAAATGACATGGAAAGCCACCAAAGGTGCTGGGCAGAGAAATGGTCTGACCCGACTTATATTTTAATTGGATCTCTCCGGCTGCTTTCTTCAGACTAGACTGTAGGTGGGCAAACTCTGAAACAGGGAGACCAGTGAAGTGGCTGCTGCTAATACCTGAGCATGAGGTGTGGTCAGCAGTGGAGGTGATGAAAAGTGGTTGTTCCCGGATATATTGTCAAGGTTTAGCTGGTAGCATTAGGTGCAGGATTTGAGAGATGAAGTGGAGACCAGAGGGATGCCCAGGCTTTTGGCTTGAGGCATTGCAGTCGTGGAGCTGCTATGAGGAGAGGTGGGGCAGTCCTCGGGAGGAACAGCATGGGCACCATGCCACTCAGTTTGAAATGCGCTGAGTTTTTAGATGCCTGTTCCCTGTGCACATGGAGATGTCACAGGTGGTTGGAAACATGAGTTTGGAATGTAGCAGAGAGATCCCAGATAGAGATTTGGAAGTTGTCCAGGTTACAGATACTATTTAATAAAGAGTCTGGATGAGATCACCAAGTATGATAACTATTACGTTGGTGGCTCTCCATGAACCAGGCCTTAGGATACTCACACTCTTGTGTCTTCCCTGTTCCTTAATCTAGGTTAGGTTTGTGACTTGCTTTCACCAGTGAGACAACACGGTGGAAGTGACACCATGCAGTTGTGGTCCTGACTGCTTCTGTGTTTACGCTCTTGAGCATCCTGACTGACTTTGTTAGATTCCGATTGTCCTGATGGA